GGGTTTCTATTACTAGAAAATAGCTATTTTTCAAGCAATATGGTATATTTTAGTTTGCTTTTGGCAAGTCTTTCTGCACGGGTTTTGGGCTGTTTAGAAGTCCCGAAGCCTGAATTCTGGGTTTTTTCCCGTTTAACAATGAAAAGATCTATTGGAGAAAAGCTTCAGCCCATAAGGACACTAGCAACCCGAATTTGGGCTTTTTCAAGAAGCTTCAAATCAAGTTTTCACAATCTTTTAGTGCCCGGTCTTCTTTGAACGTGTGGCACGATGCAAACACTTGGGAGAAAATGGGTTATCTTTTCACAAAAAACTATTTGAATGTACAAGGGACCTATCAATGGTATGTGGGGACCACTTTGGAAAAATGTATGTGGGGCTTACCTTGAAAAATGTATGTGGGCCCATATACATGTCCACACATAGACCCACATGCATGTCCACTAATGGCATGTGGGGCCCACCTTGTAAATTGTGTGTGGGCCCCACATACATGTCCACCAATGGTATGTGGGACCCACATTGAAAAATGTATGTGGGCCCCACATACATGTCCACACATGAACCCCACGTGTATGTCCAATGGTTATGTCGGGCCCACCTTTAAAACGTACATGGGCCCCACGAACATGTCCACACATGCATACATGTCCCCCAATGATATGTGGGCCCACCTTGAAAAATATATGTGAGCCCTACATACATGTCCAGACATGGACCCCACATGCATATCCACTAATGGTATATTGGGCCCACCTCGTAAAATGTGCATGGGCCGAGACCGGATCTGCTCCTCAACACTTGGCGCCTCACACACATCCTATCATACATTGGGAACATCTCCCATTAATAACTTATTATTATTTACGAGAGATGTTCCCAATGCAAAGTAGATGTGCATGTGAGGAACCCATTTGTGAGGAGTAGATCCCGTCACACATGGGCCCCATGTACATGTCCACACATGGACCCCACATACATATCCACCAATGGTATGTTGGGCCCACCTTTAAAAATGTATGTGGGTCCCACATACATGTCCACACATGGACTCCACATGCATGCCCACCAATGGTATGTTAGGCCCACCTTGTAAAATGTATGTGGGCCCCACATACATGTCCACCAATGGTATGTAGGGCCCATCTTAGAAAATATATATGGGTCTCACGTGTTAAATGAAAGGTTTATTGACCCACACACAAGGCATTCATATATACATAACACATATTTTCATCACATTATCAAACTATTATAGCTTTTATGGTCTTTCCTGAGATTTATGAAAGAAATATCAACCAAACAGTCTTTGGTCTTCTAAGATCTATTTACAAAAACTCACATTGTCTTTTAACTATCAGATCTTGTTACAGATCTTTTGGAAAAGACTTGCCAAACAGGCACTAGTATTACCACAATAATGATTTATTATTGAAAAATAATTCTTTTCATTGGACCAATATTGCTGGAAAATAGCTCTGTGTTTAATATACTATTTCCCCCTCTATTGGAAATTTTTGGTGGACGAAGTAATAGATTTGTATGTATTGGGTGATTTGCTCGAAAAATTGACAATTGGATCTCAATTTCAGCTACCATATGCATGTATGAGGAATCTAGATCATTAGCAGGGTGTTTGGTTCCATTTACGTTTATTCAGTAAACATTTATTGATGGTGCCACATAGGCGCCATCTCAGCATTTTTCTCTCTCTTGCTCTTTTGCATACATCGAAAATGTAAAAAGTGAAGTTTGGTTTATATGTGCATGCTTGCCGTTTGTAGAAGTTATGTTTTGAAGCTTCCACAAATGGCCAGGCATTTATTCATTGTTACGCTGAGGTGGCACCTAGTTATCATAAATGGTTGAAATTATTGCATTTCTCGGTTTTACCACCAAATAAAGTACAAATGTTTAAATGGAACCAAACACATACTAGATGAACTTGATGGTATTACATAGTGCAACAGTGTCATACTGGATCGATCTGGGTTGTTGCTTGAAACGTTCCACCAAACAGCAAAACATGAAAAAATGTTTATTGTGACTTGTGAGCTTAGGTGGCACATGATTTTATTACTTGAAATGTGCCGCCTAACAACAATCACAATAAACGTTTAAAGTGGTGTTTTACACATAAAAGTGTTTATCTGAAAAGCATCCATCTATAAACGCCCACAAAATGAAGTGACACCATCATAATACAACTCAATTCGATTTATATCCACCCTCCCCCCATGATTGTTCCCCAATTGTACAGTGAAAGTTAGAATACTCCCTATAGTTTGGAAGATTTATTTAAACCTATCCTATGGTTTGCATTTTATTAAAACACCCCTTATAGTTTGTAACATATTTACTTAATCGACCGTTCACTAAGAACTATTTGTTTTGTCATCTGAAAATAATAGCATGATCACCTAAACTAAGTGGAAAATGTTCAAGGGCATGGACCCATAATCGTTTATTCCAAAAGTACCCGTAAGCTGAGTGGAAAATGTTCAAGGGTATGAATCCATAGTTGTTTATTATGAAAGCACCCGTTAACACCATTTTGTATGCAAAGCAAAAATGACCAAATAGAGAAAAATATAGTGATTGTCTGTGCTTTTTTTTTGCTAGGGGCAGAAATGGCATTTTTGTTATTTAGTCTTTTATTAAATTTATTTGAATGGATGTTAAGGTTAAAACTGTCATTTTCTACTTTTATCTAATGGAAGGTCAATTAAATAAATTGATTACAAACTATTATAATAAAACATAAATTATAAGGTAAATTTTAATAAATTCATGAAATTATAAAATGTGTTTTAGTAAATAACCATTTATTCCATTATAAACTTTTTTTAAAGGATTAAGGGGTGGGTCAGAGACCAGGATGCACATAAATGCAGTGATCGAACTATAAAGAGCCTGCATTTATAAGGGTTGATGCCGAGCGACCATTGGGTCTTTGGCATTAGTCAAAGGCCCGACAATAGTAAACATGAATGACGTGAACATGGTTTTCAAATGTGAAATTAATTTTGTAAAATGTTGGTCTTGTAAATGCTTTCGCTTGATTTATTTGTCATAATTTCAGAATACTATTAAAATAAAAAGAAAACTAACTAAATTAGAAATATAACGATAAAATAACTAAATTTTATCAAAAAATCCCCAAAAATGTCAAAACTAAGGAAAATTTCATTACGAATCAAAGGGCCGAAGTTTGTAAAATTTAAAACATTGGACAAGCCTTCTTTGAGGGTCAGATTAGCCCAAGGAATATTTCACCCAAAAAAAAAGGAAGATATGTTAAAAACTAAAAACAACTAATAGGAGCGAATTGACCAATCTTGAGCATGGTTGAAGATGAGCTGCTGAATTGTCTTACTTGTTCATGAGCATTAAAATAAGAAACAAGCTTAATTTTCATAGGTCTAAGTCAAGCCTAACCAAGCTTGCTCTAGTTAAAGGAAAATGAGCCAATTATGGGAGGGCAACTTGGCTAAATTCATCTATTTTGCCTTCTGTTTTGTTGGAGGCAAAATTGTAGACCTGTATTTGGGTCTCAACCATCCTAATATCAATCAGCTTAATTCAAGGATACAAGCCAAACCCAAGTTGGATGAGTTGACCCTGCTGGATCCCCTATTCCATGAGTCATCTCCAGCGGTAAATTTGTTTCAGCCCAGAGAACCCACCGTTTGTGAACGGTTCAAGTTTACATTAATTTTTTTTCGATAGTACATGGTGCAGATTATGAGGAAATCAGGGGTGGAAGTAGGAACAGAGAAAGATGCAAGTGAAGCCCACGGACCATTCCACCAAAAGCCTGCAATTCTGCATTGCAGGTTTGATCTTGTACCTCCTATTTGAAGAGATGCCAATTGAGAATTTCAACTATTGAATAATCCGGCAGATGCCGCACATCTAATCATCAGATAATATCTAGAACCAAAAATATCATTTCCTAAATCCCAGCAATATAAAATCTGCTAACAAAAATGTTCAGAACTAAAGAAACTTATCCCACAAATGCAACAAAATCAAGAACATTGTAAATTTAAAACTCTATAGGCCTTATCATTAACCTTTATCCAAGAAAAAAAGGGGTTAAATACTTAAACCACCCCTCGGTTTCGCAAAACACTCTCACTGCTTGCCTTATCAATAATCTCCATGTTCTTTGAGTATTTGTACAAAGTATAAACGGTGAGGGTACAATTAGCTTCTTCAGTTAGTTTCCCAAAACCAAGGTATGGTTTAAATATTTAACCCTCTCCCAACTGTACCGAAATATTACCAGGTCAGAAGCAGCATACTACGCGCATGCAAGCTAGGAGCCTTTGACTTCATAACTGTTCGGATTTGCTCCTCCCAAAATGGGTCCTCGCACACACCAGGCCACCACACAGCTATTGCAGCCGCACATCCAAGCGTCTCCGTACTTATAATGTTTCAGTACAAAATCGATCCTCAAAAGTCAAAATCAGTCCCCTGCTACTTGGACTAGTTGTGTTTGTAAAAACACCAAATGAGCAAATGGATTCAATTACGTAATCTACCCTTACATTAGGGGTGACCATGGATCCAACCCTTAGGCCAGGCCAAGCTTTGCATTTATGATAAAAGCTATAGCCTAAGTCTATATATGAGTTCGGGCTGAGCCAGACCTGATTCAAGGTGATATTATAACATTTATACATATAATATATAATATAATATAAAATAATATGTGTATATATAAAGGCCAAGCCTGAACACAAAACCTGAGCCCAAGCCAGGAATTTCCAGGCCGGGCTGAAATGATCACCCCTACGGCCCTACCTTACATTTCACTCGATCGATACCCAACTGAGTATTCCTTTAAAAACCCCTGGCATTTCACTGCAAAATGCTTTCTACTACATTCTTCTTTCTTCCATAATCCACATTACTTCCTGATTTCAATCAAACCCCACCACGCACACGCACAACAAACTTTAAACAAGAAGCATGGTGCACAACTAAAAAAAGGGAAAAAAACGAATAGAACCACTTCCAAATGTGAATGAATTGATAGTTGAATAAAAACAAAGGATAAAATGATAAAAAGATGGACCGTTAACGTCTCAAAGCAATCACTTTGGCTACGCCATGGCTGTAGTCCCAGCCTCCGAGGTTAGAGCTTACGATCAAAAATAGGTTGCGCCCATCACCCATGGTGTAGCCAAAGTGAACTAATTCCTAAATTAAATATAATATTACCATCCTCGCTGTATTTTTAATCACAATCCCATTTTCCCATGTCGTCCATATTTTCAATCCGTATCTATAAACTGTAACCATATTTATATGTATTCCCATTTATCTTATTCACAAGGTAGTCAGTATGTATCCATCCACTGTCTGTGGATCGAGTCAGGAAATGTTGTGGCTTGGTTCTACTTCGTCTGAGTAAAGAGAGAAGATGTCGACGGGAGCAGTAATGCAGTCAACGGTGGACTGCTCCCTGAAATTACCAGTGGAAGAGCTGTTATAGTGATCAAGGTACATCACAATTACAGTGATGTCATCATGAAAATGCCGCCTTATCCCCTTCTCTATGCTCTTTATGTCATCGTATCTCATTTCTCTCTTCCTTGCAGCCTCTTGGAGGGCAGCTCTCACCAATCTCTTTGCTATGCCCTGCCAAACAATGGCAATATTTTCAATTAGTTACATAGTGTTAAAGCAAAATACATCTTAGGAAACCAAGGGTGGTTCAAAATGTAGGTCAAGAAAGATATCCTTTTGAGCTTCTCCACTAATACCTAATACAGATCATAAAAATAAGAAAAAGAATTGGCATATGGATATGAGCTAGCGGTACTTACTACTCTTGGATTTTTGAAAACAATCTCTACAGCTGCTTCATCACTCAGTTGCTCCCACAGTCCATCTGATGCAAATATCAAGAATAAGTCTTGAGGCTTTAGCTTTCTAATCTGGATTGAAGGTTCTGCTGACATCACAGGCCGTTTCAGTGGGACAGGATACCCAAATTGCTGGAAATGAGGGTCCCTATTGAACTCGGGTTTCTTAAGATAGACATCTCCAATAGATCTTGATACCTAAAAAGAAAGTTAGTGTTAAAGTCCGTGTTGCCTCTTTTATCAAATTCTTCTAGACAATGGAATATATCAAAGGAAAAAAGTAGCAACTAGCAAGTGGAATATGTTCTATTTGGCACAAATACCAAGTGTCTCTCAAAATTCAATATATGGAATCAACAAGTTAAACTAGTGAGCCATATTTGTAAGTTCTTTAGCATCTCCCTGCTGACACCATAGCTGCATGTTAAAAATAAAGATAGATTTCCAAAGGAGAGAACGGTACATGTAACATCTGCATATATGGAAATGAGCAAAACCATAAGCCATTGAGTGAGAGATAGCCAGGATGGGACCAATTAGAAACTACATATTCTAACTACTCTCACACTGCAATTTTTTTTTCCTCTGCAAGTATAGCATCAATCTGCCTGAAGAGGCACATCATGTGATTTTTGGAAGGATCAAAGGAAGTTATTTGACACCTTTCCTGAAAACAGATTTGACTCATTACTCATTGATATGTTCAAAGATAAGGATTACTACTTAGACAAAAGAAAAGCATAAGATAAAAGATAATGATAGACAATGGTGCGAAATAAAATGTCCAAAAGATGGGTTCCTGGAAGATACACAACAAACTAAATCTCATTTGCAGCTCCTCTACTTTATAGTATAATGTCTACAATGATGGTTACCCAGAATCTTTCCTTTTGAAGAGTTGAATTGCAAGTTGCATGCAAAAAGATTGCAAAGGGAATCATAATGTCAAAGCAGTAGTTATGCCATCCTTCTCAATCACGCATGGTATTACTTTTTGATTAACATTTCCAGTATTGTATTCTTAAGCAATCTTATAACAATCAACTCTTTATGGAAAGCAAAGATTTGTAGCAGAAATTTTAAATAGTCTTAAAAGTGCTGCAAGGGCTGTAATCCTGTAGCCAAAAGAACATATCAGTTTCCTGGTCAGAGTAGACAGACATAGAAATCTTGTTTCCTAAGCTCTTTGATAGGGACAATGAAGTAAAGGTTAAACTGCAAATAATGGAAACTAGAATTAATATAAGGAAAGTTTGAAATTCCTTAATGGTTTTGAAATAGTCGAAACTAAAACATAATATAGAAGGCTAAACCACTATGCCAGACACACACTAAATGTCTAGAAGAACCTACAGAACATAATGGTTTTGAATTCTGCAAAGAAATGCCTCCCACCATGGAGATAAATGTCCTCTCTCATTCTCCTCCATACTACATTGAGTGGGTAAGTATAAAGGCATAAGTCTAAACCCATAATTGAATATATGATACTATGCAGAATAGGCAAGTACAAAGTACAAACTCCAAAGAGGACTTATTAGAGTGTAAGTCATCATTTCTTCACACTAATAACATCAACAAGAGTAGTAACATTTAGAACCCAAAATACTTGTTATGGAATTGACAGATCTATGTAAGCCAATTCACACAAGAAAAATAAAAAACATGGATGTAGCACCTCGCCATATTAACCTAGAGAAAGAAGAAATTGTCATAAACCCTATGACAGTACAGTACTATCAAATAATGAAGATACAAGCACCAGTTATTCCTTCTAGAGAGGATAAGGCACAGCCCTAAAACTGCCATTATGTAATTACCAAATGAATTATAATGACATATAACAACCCTAAATTCAGATACAACAAGAAGCATCGAGTCCATAATCCGATTTGTCTTTAACTCATTAAGAGTTTCTTTTTGTTTTTACATTTTTTCTATTCTATTTTCCCTTAATATTAAATAATTTCTCCTTACTCCATTTGAACCATATTTGACCATCATTAGCATTTAGCAGTACTGATTTCCAACTCCTTATGTGTGTTAAGTTTCAGTAGTAAACAATAATTAGGAATCAAGAGTACGAGAAAAGCACATTATACCTGAATTATGCCTTTTATCCGCCAAACTCCACGAGTATACACGACAATATGTGAATCATCGGGATGAAGAGCCTCGACCTCCTTTCTAACCTCCTCGACGGCAACATTATGATCAGTGGACAAGCGTTCCGCCACCACCAGATTCCTCCGCCCCTCGGAAGCTTTCCGCCCAAGAACTGCTCTAGAGTCCCCAAGATTCGCCACATACAACATATCGTTCGAAATCGCTCCAACCAAACAACAAGATCCCACAGAAGCAATCTGCGGCCGTGCGGGCCACGACCGTTTCACCAAATGCAAGAACTCCTCCTCGGTCGCATCGAATGCCTTCTTTAGAACATCGGCAGACAAACCCCCTTGTTCCGTTACAAGCTCTATAAAATAATAATTAAAAGTTGTAAATAAGGATTTAACAATATATATATATATATATAGAAAAAAGGAAAGAAAAAAGAGGGACTAGGGCATGATTGAAGGTTGGGATAGTTACTGTGGAGGTGAGGGAAGAGGTGATTATTAATAAAACGAGAAGCTTCGGGGCCGCCGTGGCCGTCGTAGACGCCAACGTAGGTGGCGGAGGGAGAGGTGAAGACTTGGCTTTGGTCTTCGAGGGATGAATTGGCTTGAACGACAGCGATGGAGAAGTCACCGGAGGCGTGGGGTTTCAAATCCATATGCCATAGAAGTCCATCGCCTCGTCGGCCAAAACATCGCTCCAGTGGTCTGTAACATGTACGCAACATCTCTTTGTCCGTCTCTCGCTCAGACTTGATTTCTCTCTCTCTCTCTCTCTCTCTCTAAGATATCTCTGTTCTTTTTTTTTGTTTTTGCAGTATTTCAGATTATAGACTTCAAACCTTGTGGAGACTTTGACGTCTTTGAATTGAGAGAGAACTCAGAGAAGGGAACGGGGAGAGGAAGAGACGGAGGGAATCGATCAACATTTTCATTGCTGGCAATAGAAAAAGTCGTGGCGATGCCGCGTAAGAAGAGGACGAGTGTTGCTCTCTATCCCATCTAATTCTACGCGTGTGTTATATGGTAATCAGAAAACGTTCTCTATTTATTAATGCTTTTAATTATCAAATTGTTTATATTTTGTTTTTCCGAGGGTTTTCATACATCAGAGTCAACTAATGCTGTCCAATTTTCTGGTTTTCTTCTCAATTACGACACCCACTCTGTTTCACATTTTCGCTTGGGATCCGCTTTCTTTGACGATATAGACCTGACGATGACGGGTCTTGGCGTTGCAAAACCCATTACCTACGCGGCTCGTAACGCCAGATTGGGCTGGGCTGTGTAAATGATCCGGGTCATGTTGACAGACCACACCATACTCTATTATCTTTTTCTTTTTTTTTTTTTTCAAAGTAGAACAAACTCTATATGTATCCATATTATACAAGGGCGTATTTCGTATCATTGTGTTGCATTACTCTTGCTTGTCCGTTTATTTTCCGTATCAGCGCCACACAAGCGATTAGAATTTAACTTACTTTGGTTAGGTTGGATAAGTACAAACCCGCTTGAGGTTTTGTACAAACATTTTTTCCGTGGGTGTTTATTTAATAAATATTGTTACATAACCACCATTTCAGCCTTTTTCCTCTATTGCTCTTTTGTATGCATCGAGAATAATAGAAGTTGATTTCAGTTTTTGTGTATGTCTACTATTTTGAGAAGTTATTTTTTAAAGTTTTAACAAAAGGTTAAGCGTTTTTTTTACTTTTATGTTAATGTGAAACTTAGTGGCGCCTAATTGTCATAAGCAATTATAATTATTACCTTTCTCAATTTTGTAAGCAAATAAAATACAAACATTGAAAAAACATAAACAAAGCCAAAAAACATACATTATATTGCACTTTGTACACAATCACTTGATTTCCACTGAATGCAATACAAAGCAACACCCATACAACACTAAATACCATGATACTTGCCTTGCCTTGTGCTTGGTGGCAGTCATACAAATTATATTTAAAACACCACACACATACCATACAAGCATAAGCATCTAAAACACTATACACACGATTATACACACGATTTTCCTAATGTGTAAATGTAGCTAGCAATCTATTGTAGTCATTCATTCTTGATCTATGGTTGAATATCATATGCATAGAATCTTTGCTTCCCGGATATTTGCACTCCAAATACTATATGTGCAATTAATGCATATAGTACATGTGGTACTAAAGGCAGAGTGGGGTGGCAGCCCTTATGCTTGTAAAATCCCCACAATATCCATTTAAATGTTACTTATATATTGATCCCCCTACCCATTTTATTAGATTTTGGTTCCCTCAAGAAAAAATCCTAGTTACCCCAATTGTGTCATATTGTTGTACATTGATAATGATAATGATAATGATAATAATAATAATAATAATAATAATAATAATTGTAAAATAGATCTATTACAATTACTAGATTCAACCTTTTAGAAATGAAATCATATAATCTATTTTGGAAAGTGTTTATTGGTATTGAATTGCTTTGTCTTTTTTTCAATGGAAATTACATTTTTAAGGGTAAATTACTAAAATCTCCCCTAAAGTTTGATAATTGCAATCACCTCCCCTGAACTTTTTGACAATTGCAAGTAGAACTCCCTACTAAAATCTTACAAGAGGAACAAAATTGTCCAAAATATCCATACAATAGCAATTAAGGCTAGTCTCTACAGGAAAAAAAAAATACAAAATTTATAAACAACAAAAATATAGAGAACTTAAAGTTGCATCTTTACCTTTGAGCAACTGATATGAAGGCAAATTTGGAAAATAAAATGATTTCAAAAAAGATACTAGAATGGTCTGGGCTAGCAATTCATATGAAGAGAAAATTCGAAAAATGAAAATTTTGGTCAAAAGTAACTGCATGGATAATTTGGACATTTTCATGCCTCTTTTTAGAGGATTCTAAGAAAAGAGGTCTACTTGAAACTATGTTAGAAAATTCAGGGGAGGTGCCTGCAATTACCAAACTTCTGGGAGCTTTCAGCAATTTACCCTTTTTTTTTAATTTCTATTATGATACACGTCATGCAAGTGCGTTCCTAATCTTTTCCTAACAAAGTAACAAGTGTCTTTTAAGATTTAAGAGAAAAAGAAACGTGCTTGTGATTTGTAAACATCCATTCTTTTGGTAATAAAATTTTCATTAGAAGAAAACCAGAACATAAAAAAAAATTAGAGTAGAGGAACCCAACAAGAACAAAAACCAACAAAAAGGGAAAGAACAAAAATAAATAAAACTAAAAGAAAGAAAGCAGAAAAACCTAGACAAGTTTAACTAACTAGAGCTGAAAACCAATCCGGGAGAGCATCTTCTCACCACATCATCTATTGAAAACCATCTTTGGCTAGCTCATGGGTAGCTACATTCACACTGCGGGGGCACCATGAAAACTTGAACTCTTGACCTACACTTATGCTGGCTAGGTCTTCTTTAATGAAGACTATCTCGTTTGCACAATGGGGAGAAGCATTGTTTATGTACGAGGTCAACTGCTGACAGTTTGATTTGTAAATATCCATTAGGCCTTGCCTTTCATTGAGTGAATAGACTAGCAAACCACTCAAATAAATTATCTATGAAAGGTATTGAGAAAAGAGTCTCAGATGACTTACAAATGTTTTATGACACTTTTTTAGACCTCACAAAAGCAGGGTAAACAAGAGGCCTGATAGCCATATCAGAGAGTGCCTGAAGTTCCACTGGTTTAATCCTACGCCTCCTATTTCGGAAGGATGCCAACCGACCATCACAACCATTAATTCATCGGCTTTTTCATTTCATTTGCTCATCATTTTGTATGAGTTCACATATGCCCCCCATAAAATGCACCCCAAAAACGCCCCACATGCACATCTCAGCGTGCATTGAGAACATCTTTCATACTTGTCATTGGGAGATGTTCCCAATAGAAGGTTAGGATGTGCTGTGGAACTTTTTTGGGGTGCATTCTGGGGGGGACTTCATTTTGTATGCACAATACAAAGAAAGCTTCAAGCCAAAAGCAAAAGCCATGTAGCTAAAGTAATTCCCTTTTTCCTTTGGACACCTTTTGATTTGAAGAACGAGAACTTTAAATAGTCAAATGTTCTCTTATTCGATGAACGGCTTTGAGTACTATACAATGACTACTCGTGTTCATCCATAAAGAAATGAATGGTTTTGAGCACTATCCAAGGACTAATCTTGTTCATCTATAAAGACAAAAAGTAACCTGGGAAGTATTATAATTTGGAGTAACCAGTGAATAATGGCTTGAATTTTTTTATCTGCCTAGATCCCCAATAGGGGTTGTTTTGAATAGCACAGCACCACACATATAACCCTCTTTCTAAATTTGGTGGTAGCAAGATTCGAACCCCCATCTGTATTGAAATGAACCAGCTAATATACTAATTGAGCCACCCCTCAGTTGGCTTAAAAATTGAGCCTTCATCATAGGAACAATTTTTTGGTAGAACTTTGTCCTTACCTTTGAGAGCCCCTACTGTCTTTATCTCTCAATTTTGGTGGGATGGGGATGCATTGAACTATTTCTTCTATTGGTGATTCTTCCTCACTTTTTGTCCATTGCAGAAGTTCTTTATCTTCTCCTTTATTTATTGTATATATTTTGTTGTTTCTAAGAAATTGTATCTGCGATTTCTTGTTTGATACTATTACCGATTCTCTGTATTCATACAAGTTTCTTAATTGAATGAAATATACTTTTAGCTTTGGATAAAAAAAAATGGTATTAATTACTTTAAAGTCTTTTTATTATGTTTTTATAACATTATTATTATACTTGCCAAGATAGATGGTATTTGATAATTGTTAATGACTAAAGTAAATATCTGAACCCTATCATCCTAATCATCACTAATTAGCCTTAAAATTTAGGGCAAATTTCTTAAACTACCCCTAAGGTTTAGGAAATTGACTAACACTACTATTTTAGTATTGTCTTAAAGTACCCCTATTATTCTTGACAATTGTCACATGACTCCCTTCCCATTAACTCTCTGACACAAACCGTTTACATGTGACTTTACGTGTTAGATTTAATGTTACATTATACCCAAACTCCCAAAGTTCCCTTCAATGGTAGGAAATGCCCTTCAATGGTTGGAAATACCCAAAGTACCCTTCAATGGCCAAAAGTTGTTATGGTGGCAATGCCTTTTGGTATTCATCGACAAGAACACTGGCCTAGTGCAGAACTTGTAAGCATACACATCACGGAGCCTTGTGGACAAACATTTTAGGTTGGTTGTACATTGACAGAAATCATGGTTTGAAACTGGGGTTATTGACGGTTGTGAATAGGATGAAGGAGGAATGAGATTTATGTAATGTGAAAATAAGTCTGGAAAGGAGGAGGAAGGAAGAAGGAGGAACTCAGAGGTGATCTGTAGATGTTCGACAAAATGTCTACCCATGCACAGCCCCACTGAAAGCGTAGCACACACAACCTCACACCCGCCCATGCACACACAGCCCCGCACCTGACCACGCACAGCCCCACGCTTGCCCACACATGTACAACCCTGTTTCTACCCACACATGCACAGCCCCGCGCCCGCCCGCCCACACACAATCCCGCATCCGTGCCTGCCCACACACAATCCTGCGCTCATGCCCACCCACACATGCACAACCCCACACCCGCCCACACCCACCCACAACATGCACTACTCACATGCCCATGCACCCGAGCACCCCTCCGGTACCATGAAGGCTTTCTACCCATGTGGTGGTGGAGAGTGTGTACTTGTTGTTGGGAAGGTTGAGAATGTTGGTTGAGAGTTTTATGGTTGTCATTACTACGTAGGTTATACATTGTGTTATGATTTTGCATTGGGCATTTGATAACGTATCATCTAACCCAATTCTTAGTTACTGTTGTAATTTGCCCCTGATAGAAGATGTAATTTCTTCTTATGGAAGGATGAGGCAAGGACCTATCCATGTGGAAATGGGATTTGCAAGGTTTTCGCATCTGAACAGCTCGGTACACAAGGGAGACGATTTTGGGTTTGAACAAAGCCCCAAGTAAGATGTATTTGTTTTTACAATTTGGTTAAATCTTCAATCATTGAATTCACACTATTTTTTGTAGGAAATCGGTGGGTATAGGTTCTTTGCATGGATACTAGGGAGAGCAAATGCCCAATAGAGCACAGGGAGCGTAACCATCAAAAGTGATGGGGTAAGGCCTTCGGGAAGTATGGAAATGTCATGTAAAGATCCAATAAATGAAGGTTGAAGCAGTCGTCCAATTAGAGAATGACAACTTAATTTTGTGATAAATTGTTGGGTCGTATTAAAAATATGTGAATCAAAGATGTATAATCAGATGCATTAATATGAAATGTTGGAGCAGTATATTGGAACTGTAGTTCTATTATGTTCTTTTTCTTAGGGTCTTTTCATTTCAATAGGTTTGATTTAAATATAGATTGAAATTGTAGTCCTACATATTAGATGACAAGCAAAAAGTTAACCTATCTATAGTAACTAAGTTTTTCCATCCTTTCAGATTTTACTAAGTTCCTACAAGCATTTATCCATTTTCCGGTTCCATACTTATCACTTATCACAAGTTTGGTCACATGGGGTTTGAGTCTGAGAATGGCAACCTTTTACTAAAAAATAAAAAAAAAAAATGGTGCCACTTGTTTCGTTGTTCATCGACAATGTTTCTAATCACATGTAACCATGTAAGCAGAAACTGTTGATCATTAAATGACACTATTTCAATCTACTGGATCCTACCTCAACATCATTATAATGCTACAAGGCTACAAGACTTAAGCCTATATCAAACCCTAATAATTTTCATTTAGTGATGCAATTAGGTATGTGGTTCACTTCTGCAACTGATAATTTTGTTTTTGTCTAATTACTTGGTTTGCTTTTTCCTTTTTTTTTCTTTATATTATTTTACTAACCCATGATTAGACCCTTGAGAGCATAGGTGGAGCCATTGAAAACATACTCTACTAGACAGAGAGAACCACTTAATGAAAAAAGGTCACTACTAATGATCAATCAAAGGGAGTCACTGCTACTCTAACAGGGATAACCGAAAGGTAGATTGGAGATGAATGGATCAGTCCTTGAGCCATACAACACAAGGCAAAGAGAATCTCATTAACCTACAGGTTGTAGCCTCGTAAGCTTTAGAGAAATTAGGGATAACATACAACACAAAGCTTACAAGATACAACTTCATAACAATTGCATATCCATTTCATCTCTTAAATGAAGCCTTACAACAAATTCAAATACTTAATGGCTAAGGTGGTTTTGTTGTTTAGTAAAACCAAATGTTGATCTAGACTCTAAATAGTTGAAATCTGAAACCTACTTTCAACTTCTGGATACTTTTGAATGCAATTGAATTGTTTGAATATCCAAATGCTGTAACAATTGAAAACAACCTATTTTACAAATTTACCCCTTCTCAAATTGGAGGAGAAAGAACAACATAAGATAAAAATGGAAATGAAGTTCAGCATTCACCAATTCAATAGTTCTCAAAATACAAAGGGAAATGTTGGTGAAAAGAGAAGGGTTTTGGGTAAGAAGGGAGTGGGCCTATTGGCCCACTATGAGATTGTACCAAATGAAGTGTGATCCAAGATGGGAAGAACTCCTATCATGTTCTGGTGCAGCCTATTTAGAAGAACAAGGATCCAAGATGGGAAGAAGAGTTTCAGTTTATGTTGGATGAACCACCTAATCAATACCTGGTCAAAACTGGGCCTTTTATTTTTTAATGCTTGTAAAAAAATTAATGCTTTTGGTCAAATCTAGGCCTTCTGTTCATGTGAATTTCACCTTAGTTGGTCACAGCCTATTCATTGCATCACCCTTCTGTTTTTTAATGCTTGTAAAAACATTAACACTACCATAGATATGAGAAAAAGGAAATTTTTAAGAAATGATGGATATCATCATCATCATCCAAACCTTACCCAAACTATGTGGGGTTCTACAAGTCTACAACTAACTAGGGTGGGATTCCCATGAACAAAAGGGGGTTACATTGTCCCAACATCATATCTTGCAAGAAACAAAGCATAAAATTTAATTACAAGAACTCTTAGATCACAACTAGACTTTTTAATAACTACAAATCCTTTTAAAATTTAGGCTATATTTGGCATTCCTTATTTCAAGAACTCTTAGATCACAACTAGACAACAGTATGTTGAGCAAAACCAAAAAAATAAAAAATAAAACTTTCCTGTAGGCTTCTTTCTACAATTCAAGTGTATGACACAATAAGGTACCAAATTAAACATGGCATTTATTAATTGTTTATTCAATAACTATGGTATAAGAATTCCCAGTTTTCTGGACTTGAACACCCCTTTTTCTATAGGACTGCACTTCCCCCTTGAACACCCTTTTTTTTGTAGGATTGCACTTATCCTCACTTATCCTTTACCAATTCCAATTCCAACTCAATCACTAATCTGTTTTGTTAAACAATCAAAAAAAGAAAAAAAAAAGGAATACAATACTACTCAAGCAAATGTCAAAAAGGATGTCAACCACACAGTCATTCATCCAACATGATACAATACTACTCAAGAAAATGGTTTGTGCATCAAAATTTACAAAACCAAGTATTATATTGTCAGTATATTCAACTTGACATGGTTCTTGTTCCTGCACTAAGAGTATTGTCTCGGATGTCAACCACACAGTCCAAAAAATACCATCATATACAATAAATACACAAAATATTGTGTGTTGATCATCCACATGGTTCCTGCACTAAGAGTGGGATGTGTCCATGCAAAATAATGGTTAGGGCAATATGATTAGATGTGTGTTCTAATGCACTAGCGTCAAGTATAATATAAAAAAAAAAGATCATTCCCATGCTACCATGCTTATATCAAGGCTGAAAATATCTAATCTCTTGGCTACTTTGTTCTTCAACCTACACACATCAGAAAAATTATTCATTTTTTCAATTCATGGCACAACATATAACAGAGAGCAATGTGCATATGGGTATTGTTACCTATCTAACTAGTGAGCCATGGTACAACCTCCCTCTGCCCCCCTTTCTCTAACTCTCCCACCTGATGAAGAACATGTTGCATATGTTTGTGGGATAGGGGTTTCTATAGAAGATGACCACATGTGTGCTCTCAATAGTATGAGTAGCTTCCCCACCCCTCCTAGCATTTAGCATTTTCCCCTAACAAATCGGGTACTTCTAGGTTGGTAAGTATTAGGCCTCTGCACCTGCAATTTCAACTTTAGAAATTAGAGCTCATCACTAAGGAAATGTTTAAGGGACTTTGAAATACTTGAATTAACACTAGTGGGGGTGACTCAATATTACCTCTACATTAGTGGCACTGGGGTGGAGAACAACAATTCCTTATATTGTTCCATAGACCAATGCAAATGGAACGTCTAACAGTCATGTGCTCTAATGGGACACAATATGATGGTCCTGATTCATCTTCCTCCCTCCTTCTACTGACTAGAGGTCTACCTGGTCTTCTCTTCATTGCTGGAGGTCTAACTGGAATGTAATCAACAAGTGACCAATATTTCTCACCAAGTAGGGCATGTATAAAGTGGTTGTATACTTTCACATACATGTCCTTGTGAAAGGCTTTGTCACATAGTTCCTCCACTCTACCCCTAGTGTAGGTTAGCACTGCAAGAGCATGAGCACATGGGATACCACTAATGTCCCAAATCCTACACGTGCATGTCTTGAAATCCATCTTTGTGACATTCTCTACTAAATCATTCCGTGAGGTCCAATACTCATATTACCTAGACCGAAAAATTATCATTGATCTGCAAGTACAATATACAATTAGTATCATGTATAGTGAATTATACAACAAAACACAAGAAATATGGAATGAGAGAACATGTCATCATTATCTAGCTTCTCTCCTCTGTCTATCAATGATGGATTGCACCTTCGGCATTATCTCACCCCCTGTGATCTGGCTATGTCAAATCTGCTGAATATTTTCTACATCCATCTCTTCCTTATATCCTCTAACATGTCAACAATTGGCATTGCTCTAGCCTCCCCTATCCATGAGTTAAATGACTCACTCTAGTTGTTAGTGATGTCATCTGACTTAACAATGGGATCAAACCCATGTCTAAACCAAATGTTAGGGGGGGACTTTGCATAGCCATTCATAGGCATCTCTGGAGCCTTTCTCCACTACTTCCATATAGTAATTAAAAGTTAGCCTGTGTGTAGGACTTCCCGACAGCCCATACAACATCTTTCCATGTCTTTCCCTTGTATGTTTTCTTGGAGTTGTTGTATAGGTGCCATAGGCAGAATCGATGGTTTGCCCCGGGCATGCATACTAAAACACCGCTGACTATGCCTACCAACAATTAATTGGTTTGTTAAAAATCAATGTACACATAATCCAATAATATAACAAATATAATCAAATTATAGAATACATACACACCTTCTGCCTATCAGACATAAATGTCTATTTGTATGGGTCATTAATACTCAAACAATCTTTCTGCTCATTCAAAAACCACATCCATCTTTCCTTGTTCTCAGCCTCTACTATAGAATAAGTAATTGGGAATATACCATTATTCCCATCAAGTCCCATTGTTGATAGTATCACCCCTCTGATAGTACCCATCTTCATGTGGCAACCATCCAATCCAATAGGTTCTCTACAACCCTCCAAGAAACCAAGTTTTGGTTCTCCAATGCACTTTTTTGAATGTTCCAAAAGTGTCATCTATTGTAGCCATTGCAGCATGCAACTTACCAATTGACCTAGGGTTGCTGTTGAATAATGATGTGCAATATTGGGGCATCTTTGCATATGATTCAACCAAAGATCCCCTAATCCTATCAATAGCCTTACATCGATCTCTATGAACCTTCTTCTATCTTGGTGGACAACTAGGTATTTGTTGCCTCCTTGTTTGTGGTCACCCTCAAATAGGTATGTGTCATTTAGGGTTTTCACTATGAAACTACCCCTATCATGACTCAGGGAGGCATGTATCCTCTAGCTACATGAATTGTTGGCACAAACATCGGTAAACCTGCACTTCTCATTCTTCTTTCTTTGGATTTCAATGCCCTCCACCACACAGTATTTCCGCAAAGCCTCCCTAAACTCCTTAACATTTGCAAATACCATGCCAACCAAGAATTTTGGCTTAGAGAAGTCAAATTCACATGGACCTTATGTGTTGTCCTTGCCCCTTCTGAAACCAGATTCATCATCACATGGACTATCATAGTCAGTTGTTGGTTCATAGTCCAATAGGTCAGTTGTATCCCCATTCCCACCTCTGTTTCCTTTTCCATACAAAGATGTACCACATTTATACCATCACCCTGTACACCCCCACCATCATTAGCAAGTAAATCTCCCTCAGCATCCAACTTATCACACTCACTTTCAAACCCTCACCACCTACATCACCCTCAACTTCCAAGCCATCAACATCACCATGCCACTCCTCCCCATATTCATCACCATGAGCACCATCATCTGAAGAAGACTCAATAACATAACAGTCATCATCACCTTCAAATTTTCCCTTTTCCTTTCCACTGATATCAGCACTTACATTTTGCATACTACCCCTGTCATCGACACTTAGACATTTTGCTTCAGCATGTGTAACATAGAACACTATCTCATACAGCTCACCATGAGCAGAAAACATCTTCAACATGTCATTTTCACAACCCAATAACCCGAGTTGTTCCTCTAACTCACACCCTGGTATCTTATAATTAATAGTCACCACACTCCCATTTGGTACCCTACTCAATTTGCAAAAGTCATCAATAGTGTCCAGGAAGCATATCCGATCATAGTCAATGTTTTCTACATATCCCTCCTCACCATTCACATATAACAACTTCACATTGAAGGTCTTCCATTGACCACTGATGGAGTGCAATCTGGACGTACTCGTGTGTTGAGCTGGATCAATCTACAAAACAATGCTCAGAGGGACCGGGGTGGAAGACCCAGTGAGGTCGCCCCGATGCTTAAGTCAGTATACTGTGTGCTTGTGAGCTAAGTAAGAATGCTAGAGAGCTTGAATGTGAGTAATCGCGCATACCATCACCTTGAGGATGATGCCTTTATATAGTTGAATAGCCATGATCCTTATGAAAAGGCTCTGAGATCCCTAGGCTACATAGATAAGATTCATTCCGTTTTTGAAGGAGAGCAATGTGCCAGTTGATAAGGTTTCACTTTCCTCCGATTCGAACATGGAGAGGATGAGCCCTGCTATTAGGCGTCTTGATCCTGGGAGATTCGGAATCTGTTGGGAAAGCTTCTGGAGTCGATTACGTGGCTCTTCGGCTTATTGGTCCCAAACTGGCACCTCGGTTCTTTGGCTCTGAACTGGAACCTCGATTCTTTGGCCCCGAACTGAATTAGGTGCCTAGGTGCCTTTATGGCGAGGTGCTCAAGGCCCCAATCTCCCGAGCTGCTGGCAAGGCTCCCTTGCTAAGTTGTCACCCTAATGGCTGATCGCATCCACATGTACCTTAGTCACTAGGTCGGGCCAAATTACCCCTCATCAATTGCCCCCACTCCCCGTTCTAGGGGTCACAACCCTGATGCGGGGAGTTTATGGTCAGCGCAAGCAGGTTGGCCTGGTTTCTTCTTGGATCCCCTCTCAATTTTATGGTCGGACCGATGTAACCCATGTGGCTCAATGGAAAAACCAGGTCGCGTGTCGGGGACACGTGGAAACGATGCGGTTTATAAACTCTACAAATGCCAAAAATCGTGCTCAACCGAAATAGGGGGGACCCAGATATGGTGGCTATAAATAGGGGGACCCAGGTCCCCTTTCCTTCATCCCTCAAAGTGCATTCGAGAGTTGAGGTTGCGCATCCGTTCTTTAGCTCATGTCTTGTGTCTGGGGTAGTTCGCTTCTTTTTTCGTCTTTCGGTGAGTTTGCTTGTTTCCTTTCTTATTCATTATGTCTAGCCTTTGTTTAGATAGCCTTCTTGATGGAAGCAGTGAGTCCGCTAGGGCCGAGGTGGGTACCTCGGTACGGATTGCGGAGCCTCATCCTGCCGAGGTGGGCACTTTGGCACAAGATGAGGACTCCAATCCGACCGAGGTAGACTCACCTCAGCGAGAGCGAGAAGCTTCTGGTAAATCGGCCTCCCCCTTACACCAAGGTCGTCTGCCAGACAACTTTGGTCCATCTACAATGACAGCGGACAGGCTCCTATCCTTGGTTGATCGCTATAGACTTCCTAACGATCTTGTTTATAGCATCCCCTTGGGCAATTTTCTTTGGGATCACAGTCACGATGAGATCGTAGTCTTCGAGGAACAGCTCATAGCTGGCCTTCGTTTTCCACTCCACCCTTTCATAATCGAGATCGTCAAATTCTTTGACATCGCTATAGACCAGCTCCACCCAAACTCAATTTGCAACATTATAGGTACCATCTCCCTTTTTCATGACTATAACCGACCTCTTGACCTCACCATTTTTTCCTCGATCCTTTCCATCAAAAATAATTCTGCATGTGTTCTACCCGAGCACAGGAGTAGTTACTACATGTCTCCTCGCCCCAGGTACAAGTTGTTACATGAGCTCTGCAACAAAGTCCCGGCCTGGAAGATGCATTACTTCGTAGTTCGTAACACGGAAGGATGGCCTTTTCCAACCCACTAGAGACCTGCCATCCAGGACCCCAGCGTTAAGCTGGATAAAAAAGTGCGGGAGGAAATCCGGGCTTGGGCGAAGCTAGGCTTGAAGTTTGAGAAAATCGTGACCGAAGAGAAGCTCACACAGGCCGGCCTAAGTCCTCCCGGTAGGTCGCTAACTATTGTGCTCTTTTTCTTATTTTGTTTTACTTTGATGATATGGCATCTGAATCTATTCGTTGCTTTCTTGCAGTCATCAGGAACAACTTCTCTACTGACGAGCTCTTTAAAGGCATGCAGAAGGGCAAGAAGAAGAAGAGGGCCTCCAAGAAGGCTCGCATTCAAGAGAAGGTTCCCAATTCGGGGGTTGGTGCCACCTCCTCCGAACCTCCAACTGACACCGAACAGCCCCCGGCAATCAACCTGGTCGAGGAAGACTAGGATAAGGCTTCTCCACGCCAATTGCCCAAGGAAACCAGATCCTTTGAGGCTCAACAAGCTTAGGAGGCCATCCCATCGGGTAGCAACGTCCCAGCTCAGAGCGTCTTGAGCCCGAAGCTTGATTGATACCTCTTGCCTCTTTTCTTGGATCCCCCGTACATAGTGTATGTCCTGGGTCTCCGAGCTCGGTTATAGTTTTTTTTTTGCCATGTACTCGAAACTTTTTGTTAATGAAGCATAGTGATTCAAAGATCCTTTTGTGTACAAAAGATTTTTCTAAGTATTAGTTATCCCAAAATTTTTCTAAGTGTTGGTTATCCCGAAGTGTCAAGCTAACGAGCTGGACTCCAAGTAGGAATAACTGAAATTTTTTCTAAGTGTTGGTTATCCCGAAGTGCCAAGCTGACGAGCTGGACTCCAAGTAGGAATAACCCAGTATTGTTGTACGTCGAGGAGGATGGACACTGTAGGGTATGTACCCGACTTGTCTATACACGGGCTACTCACTTGCCTAAGTCAAAGAGGTGATTAGGACTTGTCGCACCTATTCCGAGGAGGCGATTAGGACTTATCTGCCCATGCCAAAGAGGTGACTATGACTTGTTGCGCCTATGCCAAGGAGGTGATTAGAACTT